AGTACAGCTTTGGTCAAGTTAAGCTATAAAACATTTGATCGCTGAACAACCGAATAGGTGCAAGATTAGGGCAATTTCCAGTTGTGTCGAAAGTGATTTGGGATTTATTATCAGTTCTGCACTACTTTGTTCTGTGATTGGTCTAGAAAACTTGCGCCACTTCCTAAACCAAACGTTTTCCCGCGCTTCAAACAGTTTACTCGGTTTTTTAATTCCTATTGGCTCGTGATATTTGAATTTGTTCTGATTGGAAGTTGTGAGTACTTTGGTTTTAGTTCTCCGACACCCATTCCTAATGCGCTTTATAACAAAAGAAATGTTGGATGTGTGCCGTGACACCTCGGCTGCGGAGTTTTCAAGAACTGGATAAAGCAATCAATGACCAAAACGTAGCAGATTTGTCAATAATTTTTTTATTGGAAAAAGAAAAGTCTCGTGGATGAAAAGTGCAGTAAGCAAGGCATGTTTACAATTTTAAAAAGTTGATAATACCGGTTTCACGGTGTAAATCTTCATAAACCATAACATGGTTACAGTAACACAGACACACGTGAAAAACAATTAAAAGGCTACGTTTTATCTTTTCAATATCCTAAACAAGCCTCTCTAAGGTGAACATCTCCACAATTCAGTTGTGTGGGTTCATCGTGCATTAAAGGGTGAATACCAAGACCTATGAACTAAACTTTTTTTTTTGTCAGCCCAAATGCATAGCTCAGTTGACCAACCTAACATTTTATATAGTCTAGCAGACATGTACATGCATTTGCAATACAATCACAGGACTAAAGTAGCTGCGATTTGAAAACCCAAAAAAGGGGTTGTTACGATCCCCATTCTTACGCTATTTCCTAATCAGTGATGCTTGGTGCATGTGAAAGTGTCCTGACCAACGTAACAAGCAGTGTAACAATTAAAAGTAAGAGTATGATACGATAACAAGCTTTGTTAGTGGCCAACGACACCAATTTAATAAATGAGGAATTTGCTATTCATCATCAAGAAAAAGCGACACTAACAACAAGTTATAGCATAATCTACTTTTCGTTCCCTCCTTCCCTCCAATTAACCATCACTCTGTGCTCCTGTACAACTTTCTTCTATACCTCCACACTCAATCCACACACACAAAAAAGAATACCACATTTACTACCAGCAAACTGCTTAATTTCTTAAGAGGAGAGGAAAAAACCCTCTGAATGTTTACTGCAAGATTACACAAAGATTAATGCTTTGATAAAAATCTGCCAAGATCCTCAATTATCAAGGAAAGGCAGATATAAATATATAAATTAGGAACCCTTAGAACAAGTTGAAAACACTTTTATATTATATGCATTACAATGAGAAATATTTCATGTTGCCTTTTTTTTTTCCGTTTCTTTTTCTTTAACTTTGGAGATGATCATTTGAGTTAACAGACTTGGTTTTGCAGTTCTTTTTCTTTTCCTGATTCTTACTAGCTCACCATTTGCAGGACAAATATATTAAGAGGTTTGGCCCGTAATTATAATCGTTTGCCATGCTGGATCAGCAACCTGCATGAAGATAACCACAAATGCTATGTCTGGAGGGAGCTGCTTCTTCCAAAGTATTTTTAGTTCTATTGAGTAATATACCCACACAATTAAATTCTCTGCACAGCTGTATCATAAAATCAGTTGCTACACAAGTTGCAAGCATGACCAGCATGCAGGCGAAAATCATTCAGACTTTGCTTTGCCTGGTGAACTTGGGTGGGATGATTCAGCTGAAAATGAAGACAAACACTTCAATAAGTACATTAAGTTTCATTCAATGGCAAATTTTGACAAACATGTCTTAGAGACATGACAATATCTGATGCATACACATCATCTCCTCAACACAGATTCTTGTACCAGTAAATTCCTAGCTTCTTTTCTACTTAGGTATTGTATAATTTTAAACAAAATGTTTTTACTTCCTGACACCATCCCCCAAGGTTTTAGCTAACTTTTTCCACAAGCAGCTGCCTGAGGTG